CCTAGCAAGTAAGGGTACTACTTGCTAGACTCTTACCACTGACTCGACAAGCAAAAATCATATGATTTACTTTAAAAAAAAATGTATATTATAAACATGACTAACCATCCATTACACCCTCAGCCTCATCACTGAGTCACCTCACATCTAATTTATTAAAGCTTATGACCTTTCTGTCTGACAGTTAGAGGGAATAGGAGAGGACAAATGAGAAAAGAAAATTCCTGGAAAATGTTAATGTCCTTTAGGGGTGAATAAAAGTCAGCTGTCGAAATCATACTTGCATGAAAATCACAGTTAGTATAATCAATATTGAGTTAATGATTATTTGAAGCTTACTTCATAATAAAAGTCAACTTGCGTTTTGCTAGTTAAATACTTTTAATGTGAAGTTCATTTCATCTTTCAGTCTCTTATCATTTTAACTATGGTTCTACAAAGCAAGTGAAATGCAAATGAAGCAATAGTCAACTAATAAATTAGTCTTCAATCATTTTGATAATCGATTCATTTTAAACCCCTTTAAAGAAAAAAATAAAATAAAAGTCTAAATTCAGTGATTTCAGCTTCTCAAATGTGAATATTTTTTGGGTTCTTCAGTCGTCAGGGAGTAATGAACATCTTTGTGTTGTGGACAAAACAAGACGTCATTATTCCGGCCACCAAGTAAGTGTAGCTGCTACTTCTAGGTAACTGTCTTCTTTGTCCAATATTTCACAGGCTAGGGCTAATGAAGACCACACGATCACAGACAAATGACGGCAGAGCTACTTCGCTTCTATTTTTGAAGCCTTTGTCTGGCCGAATGGTAAAGACTGGCTAAATGGAAATACTTTCAATTATTACTGAGAGGCCAGATCAGCTTGTATCGCATGACGTGGGCCGTCTTCCTACAAAGCACCTTGAACACAGAGGGAAGCAGCTTCACTAAGACAGCCAGTCAACCTGAACGGCTCATTACAGAGGACAAAGATGAAAAAGGGAGAGAAATGGCTGGATCCACTTGTGGATTATGAATGAGCTTACAGTTGTTTCAACAGGAGATTCTCAGTTCTCACGCTCCTGTGATTCGCTCAGGTCCTGTTACATGTAGCTGATACCTGTCCTTGATTGGTCACAGTTTGCTTACTGGTATCGTTAGAGATGCAGACTTATATAACATCACCTTGACCCGTGCTAGGAAGCTTTCTTAATAGAAATGACAGCTCCCTGCTTCTAGTAGACACTCAAATAAATAGCTGATTACATAGCTCTGTGCCTCTATAACATAATTATAATTATTGTAGCACTGTGACAAATTCTCTATTTACAATTATTGTAGAACACATTATTTAGGCTTAATCTGTTCTCAGTTCTCTCCATTCGTTATGCAAACAAATTAAAATAATGTTGCGGGGAAAATCTCCTCTTCCTGACTGAATGACAGAGTACATGTGCCTGACTGTGCGCTTCTTACACTGGGGTCAAGACAAGTGGCATCCACCACCACACGGTCCAAACAAAGGATGAGCACCGTGAACAAAGAATGCTGACTCTGCACTATTCTATCAGTTGGCCTGAAAGACAACCAACTCGCAACAGGAAACAGAGCTACACAGTGTCCAGTTTCCTGCCAACAGGAGGGAAAAATCAATCTCTCTTTATTTAGTTCCGCTTTATATATGATCCAAGAGCTCTCACATATTACCACCCATTCCTGCCTGTGCTATTTGTACATCTTTGTTTACACACCTAATGTCAGTTTTATACAGGTCATATTTTTTCTTTGGAGCTTGTGTGTGTGTGTGTGTTGTGGTGTGTGATTGTGTGTGTGTTGTGTGTGGTGTGTGGTGGTGTGGTGTGTGTGTGTGTGTGTGTGAACATCAGTATATTGTCTGTGTCCTCAGTTTCTGCTTGTCTACAGTATGGTATGCAGGCATAAATAAATGATCCCCCCTAGTGTCTGTGTGCATGTGAGTGCACACACGGATATGTGCTGCGTGTTTGAGTTTGTTGCAGCAACATAACCTGGGTGTCCTTCCTAAATACGCAGTGGAGGAGATAAACGGAAAGGTCAGGACGAATTGCTGATCTTGTGCAGGCTGCAATACTTTTCCTGACACGTGTGGTAAAAGAAAAAGGAATGCAATATTATTTGGTTGGGAGTTGAGTGTGACAAGTCTAACTGCCGGAGTTGTAGTTCTATACCAAATCCAGGGTCACAATTAAACTTTTGCGTAATATTAATTACAAAATTAGGTTAAACCCATGTGCAGAACGTAGGAGATGACAGATGGCTGGAAACAGTAGAGTACTGGATTGTCAATTTAACCTCACTGTGGAAAGCTCAAGGTTACTGGATGGGGGAAGCCAGCAAGGACATATTTGGTCAAATAGAATTGTTCTTTGTAAATCAATGTTGAGAGAAAACATGTAGAAACCATGTGGTCTAAGTGCACACTGCTATGGCTGCCAGACACAGATGGTTCTACGGGTTTTAGATGGTTTTTTATCCCCTCACTAATACATTCAGCAACAGAGTAAATGTTCCACTTCCTACACAGCATCGTTATTCAGAACTGTGAGAAGACTTGCATTCATTTAAGAGCCACAATAATAGCTTTTAAATTCAGCAGCCAATAATCAAGAAGAGGAATGCATATTATTTTATATATAACATTTGGGGAAGGTATTGGAAAATGTACACACAAAAAAACCCAAGGAACGCTGAAAATTGATATTTCTACATCATCATTGGAAATGACCTTGACGTGATAAAATACAGACAATGAGATGATCAGGTCTTACTAACTGCCAACCAGATGTGAGCACATGTGCACATATGAGTGTGTCTACAGCTTATAATTATCTTGTGAGATAATCAATGACAGCAAGCGCAGCGCCACTGCTTTGCTTACCAGTTTTGTTTCCATTCCCAAATGTACCCAAGCATCAAACCAACAGAAGGGGATATCTTTAATCTCCTGAATGTAAAACTTAAGTAAATTTGGAAGATGTGAAAGGTCAAGACATGCAGTATAATACTGTCAAATGTGTAGTGCATTACCAGATTAGGTGCTGAAGCGCACATGAAAAGGTGTGCATTATCTAATGCCAATCATATGCATGTACTGCATCCAATATGCTATACTGTGTCAAACTATGTTCTGGAAAAGAAAAGTCATAAATCACTGACAGCCAGATGGGTGTAGCTCATTCGGCCCTCTCACCTTGGTGGTGTCATCATGGGAACGTTGATAGCGTTTCCAGCGGCAACCGTAGATCCCAGTAATACATGACAAACACAGCTGGCGCTCATAGACCTGGAGGGGTTGGTGCTTCACCATGCTCCTGCAGTCAGTCCTGCTTCCAGCGCTCTAACATCCCACTGACTACAAAGTATCCTGTAAGAGAATCAAAATCATATGTAACGTTAACATTAATGCTGAGGCAAACATGTTGAGTTCAGAGACTAAACTTAATCTACAGAACAAACAGAGTTAGTTATAGAATAAGTCTGACACTTTGATAAAAATAAAAAAAACATGCTGGCTTGAAGAGCACCCCGCTTTTGATACAAAGCCCAGCCTCAAATTAAGACCTTGCTTTCCAGCTCCCGTTTCCAATGACAACTGAGACTGTTAGGAGCTTTCATCAATATGATCAAGGAGAAAAAAAGAAAAAAAAAGAAAAAAAATAGGAAAATGAAATTGAAAAGGGCTTGGCGAACCGACCATCTATTGAACATCACATTAAATTACAGTGACAATGAATATATCACACAGTCACTACATGTCTGGACCAAAAGGCAGCATGTAGGCCCATCCATCCCTTTTATGTCAGGCACAGAACAAAGACCAGGCAAAGAAAAGGCAAACAGGCATAACAAGGATGTAATGTAAAGTGACATTTTAACATCACCCTTCAACTTACAGTCTAAACATCAATGCATGATGTTTTGTGCAGCTTCAATGTGTACAGGGACCCATTTTCTATCCAAACCAGGGGGTCTTTGCATTTATAATATTTAATGTTTGATCTGATTTCTTTAGACTTCCTTGGCATCCTTGATCCTGGTACCCACTCCAGCTCCACTAGCCCCTCTCAATGTAGAGGAGCAGCAGAAGACCATGACACTTTAGAAGAAAGCCGGCAACCCTTTCATGACTGTTTAATGCTGTGGTATTGACCGAGGTAGGAAGTACCAGGCTGTGTTGGCTGTGAAGAACACGTTATAATTTAGTCCTCCTATTGAGCTGCTGCTGATTCAGCACTGAAGCTCTGCAATCAGCTATAATAACAATAATGATATTATAGCAGTGCTGAATGTTAAGTAAGTTTACCTCACTCTCCAGAGACCTGTCGGAGCCTGCTGTGCTGCAGCTGCAAGACCCACATCTCAGTTCAGTTCAGTGGGTTCAAAGTGCATCTTGGTGTTATGAAAGCATAAACTGTGCACAACTAATGTCATCTCTCTGCGCTAGATGAGGAGTCAAACGAAATGGATTTAAATTGTACACACACACACACGCACAGACACACGCACACACACACACACACACTTTAACTGGTGATATTCCTGTTTGCTTGCAGTTTGTGGAGCACAGCATGCGTACGGTTCAGTCACATCTGATGTTTCAGAGCATTTGTGCATGTTAACTACACTCTTCCTGCTGTAATCAGGCTGTCTCAGGCTCTGGGCAGCTGCTCATTAGCATCTGCAGCAGTGGCCATGTTTCCTGTTATTAGTATAACTGCTCTGAGGCGGGCGGGCCCGACCCGAGGGTATAATGAACCTGGCCCACCCCAGCAGGGCCACAATGGTCTTGACAGGCATTGTGCAATGCAGCCTAAAAACTGATGGAGTAAAGCACAAATACACAGAACATAAATGACCACAGGGAAGTAAGATAAATGGGCATATAGAGCCGTCAGAAAAACAGAACACAGTTTAAGTATATGCTACAAAAGCACACTATTTGGAGGACCCCATTAATCACACATTTAAGTACAGTAATACTGAAGGCACTGAGTGGTGGAAATTAGAATCAAGCTTTATGTTGCTTTACTGACCGACTGACTGATACAGGACAAACTGAGATAAAACCAGGCATGGCCCGAACAAACGTAGACAATCTTTTTTCTTTCTACTGTTGGCCAAATACACTATGTATTATCACCTTATCAGACTTGGAGTATGCACTACTGTACTGCCCAACGTCAAGCTATCAATGCAGAAAACCTTACTGAGTAGCAGCATGGCAGTCTGAGGGATTTAAACCTTAATCAGATCAGGAACTGCTTGACTACTGGCACTGCAATTATGCTTGTCTGATATTCCTCCTGAATAAATCATGTCTGTTGCATGAATGGGGATCACAGCTTTGTAAGCAAAGGATTTTGGAGCCGTTAGAGGGAAATGAAGCAAATTTTCAAAAGCACAAAAGCCGTTCTTTAGCAACACTAGCAGCAGGGTTCTATTGATGTTGGCAATCACTCTGTGCGAACAGGTGAAAATGAAATCAGAAACTGAAAATGTCATATTTTGAATTAAAAAAGTGTGTCCCCTATCATCCACAAACAAATGTCAAATAACATTTCAGTTGGATTGGCAAAGTATGATCAACAACTCCCAATGTAACGACCAAAAGACAAATGTGTGTCTGGGCATGCCGACCAAGCCTTTAGGACTGAAAAACAGTCGTGCAGCTGACACAGTAAAGCCCCATTGGTGTGCTCACGGAGGCAAAGTAACAACCCCTCTCCTTCAATCGTGTTGTCACCTGTTGACAAATTATAATGTTCAAACCTGTATCCACAGCAAAGCCCGCGTAGTTATAGCAAAGTGGTTCATGCGGTTTATGTTACAACATGTTTACCTCCAAAAGCTTCCATTCATGCCAGCGTTACAGCCACTTGTATCCTCAAAGTCAAAAATATCACACACGCACATCGCTGCTACTTCAACTGAGATGAACATCAAACCGCCCTTTAATTCCGACTATTTGATGTGGGAAATTATCATAATTAGACGGAGCAGCACTGAGGCCACAGATTTGTCACCATGAAATAGGAGTCTCGTCCATTTTTTACTTCATAGTTAATACGCTCCAACCCTCCTACAGGCGGTGTGAAGACAGAAGCAAAAGCGCTGCAATTAATCCCTTTATCGGCATGATGTCTTTCCAGAAACTCATCAGCTAAATATGACCTAGTGGGGACGATTACATCTTGAACAAGCTGCAGTGAATTGACAAAGTTAAATACAGCATGAGTAGTAGTCTTCCGCATTTGAATCTCACAAAGATATTATATTCATCCAAGACTCTGCACTTGTGTCATGTTTTGCCAACATGGATGTGACACCTCAGGGTGCAGTAGGTGCAGAAGTGTGACCGCCATGTGGGCTGCGCTGTCACGGTGACTCACTGTGTCACAGACACAACAACTGAGCCACAACAGCTGAAATGAGTGAGGACAAAACAAGAAAAGATCACCTGCCTAGTTTCACATCAATATTCCTAATGAATATTCCTACTTTGCCAAGCCTTTAAACACCTGTTCAGATCCTGTCAGCCATACTGCCTCTTTGTGACTGAAATAGATTTAGCAAGTGAAAACAACAAGTGATTAAAGTTTCCACCACAGGGGAATCAGCTTTCCTAACATTTATGTGTTTGTCACAAGTTGTCTGAACTTGGGTGAACCAGAAGAGATGAGGGAGTATGAGCCCCTAAAAGGCTGCTGTCATCTCCTTTTTTGCTGCCTCATTTCCTCCAATCAAAAAGGCACAGCGAGGTCTGCACTGGAGGAAATGCTTCAGCAGTTTCCCTGCAGAAAACAGTGTCTTCTTCTGTCCAAGGAACAGAGGACTATGGGATTGAAGGCCAACCCACTGATGAGAAAAAAAAGCTCCTTAAAAAGGAATACTTAAAAAAAAATAAAAGGGGATAAATGATCTAACCACCACATGTTGTTCAACACACCACTATAATGTACAAAGTGTACAAAATGACAGTAATACCTGTCCAGTGTAATGTAACACCGTACAACAAGCTTGCATTTATTTCCAGTAAGCTACTGCAGTTTCAATTCAGCCCTTTCTGGAACGACTGTTGATCAGTATTTCCTTGGAGCGCCGAAAAAAAGGGCAAAAGAACACTACTCAACATAATCCTGGCATGTGGGCCAAACATTTACACGTTTAACTCATTAGATAGTCATCACGATCATCTACTTCCCGACAAAAAAAAAAAAAGGTAAACGGGCATGATGAAGACACTTCATGTCAAAGCTAAGATTTTGAATTAGAAGAATTTGGGTGCAATAGCAATGCATTTCAGAAATGTGCACAAAAGGCAAAATTAGATTTGAGCACTGTGGTCAAACTGACAGACAAATACTCCAAAAACAATATAGAATAAATCTGTACACAAAGAAACAACAACAACACAATATGGACATTAAGGAATCTAGTTCATCCTGTGTAAATGGGCTCCATTAATCGGTCCCTGATCCCTGCCATGTCTGAATGAAGTGAACTGCTTATTGAGATCTGCAATGGATACCAAGTACTGAAGCACCATGGAGACTTGGCTGAACCATGTGGCATCAGAAGATGCCTGCGAGGGAGTTGATTAGTGACACATGGGTGATGAAGCCCATTATAACAAGCAATGAGAGAGTCATTACATCAGAGCTGTTAAAGCTGGCTCAGCACTGACAGGCGAGCACTCTCGCTGCGGAGAGAGTGTAGAGAGTCATGGCAACATTTTAAATGAAGTAATCAAAGATCCACGGCCCCTCCCTAAATAGTGGCTCTTCTTCAGTTGAATCCAAACCGAACGCTGTTGCAGCTTTCTGTCACCTCCTGTGCACTGTAGGACAGACGTGAAGCTCCGGGGTTTAGAACAGTACATGCACAGACTTTTAGAAAGCGGCCATTGGTTCAGTCATTGTTTTGTTGTACCAGTTGGCAACAGTGTAGTAAATTGTATATCTATGTAAATGCAACATTTTTTGGTTTAAAGTTTAACTTGGAGTATAAATTATGCGACAAGGGCACTTTCCCAGTGTTAATGATTGACCGCAGCAAATTTCTGATCAAAATGTCCAACATTTCTAATAAAAAGGCAGACTTTAATGAACCCTGAAAGGCTGCAGATAAATGAGAGTGGATCATCAGCTATGTAAACACAGGCGAGCACAGATAATAAAGCTAGACACACACTAATGCAGGCTAAGCTTCTCACTGCTTTCTTTAATTCCTCTCGCCATGTGACAAAGCCAGGTGAATATCCTGTGGAAACAGAAATCCTGATACGTGTTCTAGTGTCAGTTTATGTGCACGAGTGAGCACAACACACAAAACATAACTCCTTGAACTGCTCAGGTCAAAAAAAAA